TATGAATAAAACAGAGTAATATCACATATGCAGGTTGCATTTTTTTTCAGGGCTTCCAGGCAAGCTGCAGCTGCTGTAACTTTCATTTCAGAAACTGACCAATTTTTGAAATTATATAAAACAAAGTCCTTTATAACTCTTGGCAGGAAGAGTTGATGGAACAATTAATATGCAAACATAACAATATCAGGAGAATTCCTCAAAATTTAAAACGTCTGAAAATGGATTGACTGAAGATATCAGATTGATTAGATTAAAACTGTAGATGTTTGTACAAGGTAAGTACCACAATATGAATGAAAAAATAAATCACTCGATGGTGAAAAATTAGCTGGAAGTTTCTACTCATAGTGTTTTATACAGATGTTTTTTCTCTTCAAGATAGGACTGGTTAAAGAAATTCAAAAGAGAGAATACAATATGATTTAAGGTATTTTGTTCATAAGATGCAGTTCGGACAAGCACTGAAGAGAAGACACAAAAGCAAGCAGTGCTAGGTCTAAATCCCAAAAGCTGTCCAACAGAATCAACTGGACTGATATTAGATGATGATTTGTTCAGTAGGTGATTCAACAGGTCTCCTGTAGATCAGACTAGTGACTGGATTTAAACTTTAATTTCTCCACTTAAATGTATACACTGCTTCCTCATGCCTGAACTTTTTGTGCTCTGCCTCCACAAATAGGCAATTTCAATCTGCATTTTTCCACATAGCTGTGATTTGAGATACATTCAAGATGTTTCTAACAAGTATGTGATGCTACATTTGCTCATTAATGACTACTGTCCCTCACATATGTGCATATCAAAGGTAAAAAGAAAAATAAGATTGTATTTATTGTTATTGAGAGCATCCGTCTCTCTCTCTCTTCCTCTCTGCCAGAAGGTCTGATATATTGGTGTTAAGTGAAACATACTAGATGGTATTAGCAAATTGCTGCTAGTTAGCAAGTCATCACATGGCAGACATGTGAGCTAGTGTGCAATGAGGGACACTCATTATTCTTAGCTTTAAATATTGTCATTTAATGATGTCAACCATGTTTGTATACTCACTGTTTTCAACTTTAAATATCGTATTTCAATGTTGTAAACCACCTTGGGTAATTTTAAAGGAGAAAGGTGGGGGTAATAATATTCAATTTTATTAAATA